TCAACTGGAAACCTATTGGACATTTTTCAAGAAGATTTAGCACTTTTCGTACGCGTCACCGATCACTTGTTTATCAATTTTTTCCCTCGCCTCACACACTAACCCGAACTAATCCAAACATACGCGTCACTGTTCTCGAAAAATCCCTACAATCGGCCATCCTGCAGGCTGTTCGACCACGAACTGCTGTCTTCATCGGTTTCCTCATTATTTCCATCAGATTCTGAATGTGGATGTGCCCAATACTTCATGTATTCTGCCGCTGTCGTCGTGCGGGTGACTCCATCGTGGATTTCAATCTTTTGGACTAGATAACGGTCGTGGGGTAGCTTCTGAATTACCTCGTAGGGACCCAAGAATTTTGGCTGGAATTTTAATCCCGGTCGTAATTGCGTTTGCTTGATTGTAACAATGTCCCCAAGGTTGTATGATGTACCTTCTTTTCGGTTCTTGTTGAAATACATTCTATTCTCCTCTTGTATTTTAGCAATGGAATCCTTGGCCTGGACCAGCAAATCACGTCTTTTTTCGACAAAATTTTGAGCTTCTTATTCTAAAATTTTCCGAAGGTCAAGATCGTCGTCTAATTTCATACGAATCCCAAACATCAACGTAAATGGATCAAACCTCGTACTGCGGGTTGACACGTGGTTGATGTATTGTTGGCATCGATCAGTGTACTTGTACCAATTTTCCGCTTTTGGATACGATAATTTTGTTACCATTGGAATCAGCGTCCTATTTAACCTCTCGACCTGTCCATTGCTTCTAGGCACCCCCGTCGTAATTTTCACGTGCTCAATTCTCTTAGAAATACAATAATTTTCGAAGTCCTGAGCTCGAAACGCTGAACCACTGTCTGATATGATTCTTCTTGGATTGCCGAAACAGATGGATTACTTCCTCAACCTCTCGATCGCTTCCAAAGCAGTAGCAGTCTTGGTTGGATACAATCACATGAACTTCGTAAATGCATCTATTACTGCGAAGATGTATTTGTACTTCTTCTTGGTGAATGCCAGTGGCTCCAGATGGTCTATATGATAGGTGTCCAGTGGGCCATCTCTCTTTTCTATTGGATTTAGCATTCCCTCCAATACCCTGTTTTACTGTTGGTCAATATACATTTTACACAGTTTCTCACTATTTTCTCGATTTTTGCTCGCATATTAAGAAACCAGTAATCCCTCTTTAATAGTTTCTCCGTCTGAGGAATTCGTGAATAAATTTAATGAGACTTGCTTGCATCTTCTTCGGGACAACGATCAAAAATTCACCACCATTTTCTTTGTACAACAACCCATTTTGCATTCGATGTTCACCTTCATCTGATTCCGCCAATCTTCTAATTTCGTCGTTTTCTTCTTGATCTTTCTTTATTTGGGCCAATATTCCCGTTTCTTCAACATCTATCGACATTACAGTTGCTAAAGGGTTCCGACTTAACCCGTCGACATGCTTTAAACTCGTACCCGGTCGATGTTCTACTATAAAATCAAAGTCTAGTAAAAACAACGGTCATCTCGCAACCCGTGCACACATGTCTTTCTTCTTAATCGTCATAGTAAGTGATTTATAGTCCGGCCTAACAAATACACTCTGAATTTTTTAAGGGACTATTGTCAAAACCTCTAGTTCGTAGCTATGATAATGTTTTTCTGCCAGACTTGTCTTGCCACTCGCGTAATAAACCGGATGAAGCACGTCATCACTTTCATCCCTTTGAAATAGAATTTCCCCGTACCCTAAGGATGATGCGTCAGTGTGAAGCTCGATGTAAGCTTCGGGGTTGTACAGTTTCAGAATCGATTTTGTCACTAATTTCGACTTAAGTTCATTAAACGCTCGGTCTTCTACTTCCCCGAATTGAAAAGTCTTTAAACGCCACGTTAATATACCGTTTGAAGCCGGCCGGAGACGTACAGAGTCCGAAAGGAGCTCTCAAGAACTCGTACTGCGCATTCGGCACAACGAAAGCAGTATATTTTACACTGGTTGGGTCAATTGGAACATGAAAGAAACCATTCTTCAGATCCAGGATTGTGAAAATTTTCATTCCCTGTAGACGATCTAACTGGTACTCTATTATCGGAAGCGGATATCTGTCCTTTATAATCTTTTCATTTAATTTACGAAAATCAACACAAATCCGTACCGGTCCGTCGCGCTTGCGAACCAACACCATCGGACTTGCAAATTTTGAGTTTGAAGGTCTTACGATTCTTTCTTTCACCCACTTTTCGATCTGCTGGTCTACTTCTCTCATTTCGCTAAAAGACAAACGTCACGGCGGGAGATGAATCGGCGTTTCGTCACGTAAAACAATTTTTAAAGTTTCCTGCACTTTCCGTGGTTTGTAGTTTTCCACGATATTTTTGACTTCACCCTGTATATCATCACTTGGAATGTGAGACAAATCAACTGTTCCATTATTGCAAACTTCCACGACATTAATTTCTGAGAACTCATCTGATTTATCAACATCAGCGACTTTTGAAATTGTAGCCTCGAAGAATGTTTAAATTTACTGTTTTAATAAAGTCACCGCCAAGAAGTAAAACGTAATTCATTGTTGATTCACCGACAACTTGGAGTTTAACGTCAAAACATTCCTTATCGACACTGAAATGCGTTTCCGCCAAGCCCAAAGGAAAATAATCACTGCCACCGATACCGCGTAATCGCAACCTTTCGCTCTTGATTGCCGGTGCGCCGATTTTTACATAATTGTACGAACGGATTAGGCTTACGTCACTTCCGGAATCTAAAACGCGGTTCAACTGGACACCGTTTATTTAGATTTTTTTGAAGATCTCACCATTTTTTTCTTTTTGGTCCACTACATTTGATTCCCTTTGGCGGCACTCCGCTGCTTTATGCCCGAATGCTCCGCATTTGAAACACTTTGTCCACAATTGTAGCACCTTTTATTCTGGGAAGATTTTTTAGCCAAGCTCGTTGTTTAGGTGATTCCCTTCACTTTTTGTAATATCTTCTCACCTCTTTCAAGTTTACCAGCTTTTCTGTTGTGCTTAATTTCTTCGTATTGGATCAACTTCTCTTTGAATTGTTGCAGATTTCTCGCTCCATATAAAACAATTTTGTTAGTTTCGTCATCTTCAATTCCTCTTATTACATAATGTATCACTGATAGCACGTCAACATCGGCTTGTGCAGCGATTTCGAGAATTTTGTACAAGTACTCGTGCAACGTTTCTTCTTTTGTTTTCTTTCTTCTGTTCGATTCTCTATGGACGTCGTGGCTATTTACCTGTACTACCCTGTAGCAGACGTTTTGCAATAAATTGTTTATAAATATCCGACCACTTATACAACTCGGCAAAGTCTTCTAATTCCGCAATTCAAACACGAACGCTCTTCGTATTATCTCCCGAAAATGTTTGGAAAGACTCTTCAACGTCTCGAAACGTCGGAACATATTCCAGAAAACCTCGGTTGTGCGTACCTGTACTCGCACCACTTTCGCAAAAACTGCGAAAACCGCGCTGATCATCGACCGCGACACGTAAATCTTCGACAATACATTAACATTTTCACGCTTTAGTTCACTTTTGGAAGTTTTCACACTGTTACTTCCCATTTTGTCACCTGCATTATTTTCGTCGAGTCGAGTAACCAGTTCGTCTTTTCTTTCTACCGTCTTCAATTTTCGTCGTCGAAGTTCCATCTTTAACTCGTTGACTTTCATTGAGAATACACCCTTTGCTTCGTCTTTGGCTTCAGAATTTGTCTGTTTATATTCGCACTTTTCTCCAACTTCGCCTTCGTTCTCAATTATAAGTAATTCGCCAACTGTTAGTCAATTGCCAATCCCGGACGAGACCCCAAAATTTGTGGGATTTAATGCAGTAGGCAGAAGGTATTTTTAAGGAAGTACTTTAATAATTGAGAAAACGAACACAATATTGAAAATAATTAATGAAGGAATATAAACTAAACACGTATTGACCATAACGTCATAATCGTCTTAATTTTCGTCTTCCTTGTTTCGCGGTTCGTCGTCTACTCCCGTCGTTCACACTTTTCGTACGATAGAAACAAGATATTACAGGGTTGGAAGGAAATTTGTGGGATTCTGAAGGATCACTTTGATGAAATACCAGAAAAGCAATAAAACGATATAGGAAAAATAATGTTAAAAATAATATGCCATATCATTACTAACAACATGCGTTTTTTTCTTTCGTCCATGTTGGTCACGTATCAAAACAAAACTAAATCCGAAGTGAAAAACCGTGTGCAGTGTGAACGCAAAGCAAATGGAATTACGGTATGGCTACGGCACGGTTGAAAGAAGCGTTACTCTGCCGTGAGACACCCCGTATAATACATGCATTTTATATTTACAGAAAACATAAAAAGTTCAATGTTTCTTAAAAACAAAGAAGTTTGGGCGTTTTATTTACTAATTTTAGTTGGGAAACTAATAAATAACTAACTAAATGGCCGGTAGAGGGGCGTCGATGAGATGTTTGCCTAGGGCGCTCTCGACGTTTAATCCGCCTCTGCGTTCTTTGGATTATTATTTATTATTATTATATATAAAAGAAACCAGGATAGCAAGATATTGAGCACTAGTATCAAAAACGGTTACTATCTTTTCTGATGCAAACTTGTAAATACCGTACAAAGAGAAAACTACTCCGTACATTGTTTTGTCTCTTTCGTACTTTGGTCTACATTTAGAAGACGGTCGATTCGTTCTCTATAAAGGTCTTTGTTATAGAAACACTGTACTTCGTAACAGAGTTGAGGAGCATTTAAAGTTGGAAAATATATATTTTTTTTCACATTCAATATTTAAATTGTTAGTATCTAAAAAACTAATTAGCAACAAATAATAAAATTGTATCAACAATAATCAATAAATCGTCAACAATTGATAAGATAGATAAAATGTAAAAAAGGAATATATATATTTGCCAACTTCACATGACTTGAGGAGCATCTATTTCTTTCTTTATCCAAGGTCCAGTTATCTATGTTACTGTTTGACACCTGTCATATTATGCATGTTTATCAACTAGCCATCAACTTGTCTTGATTAGTTATTAATTAAGGATGCGGTCTTGTTTTTCTTGTGGATATTGGTATTTAAGTGAAATAATGTTAAATAGGGGAACTAAAGTATTTTTTTGAAACAGTGATCCTAATGTATGTTATAGTTTAATTTCATTTTATCGTTAATAAAATTGGACAGTGAGTTTCACAAGTAAATTGACTACTGAAATCGTAATTGTATCCGAAATGAATTCAAGAAATGAAATTGAGTTAAAGAACTTTTTTATTTTTAATTCAACTTACTGTATAAAAGAAGGAGAGGTAGGATAAATGAAAAAGTAGACTAAAGATAATATAAGAAGCGTTTTTAGGAGCAAAACAAAATCTTATTTTATTTCCCTCCAACGGAAGATTTAAATACACAAATAAACAATGTCGGGTTGGTGGAGGCAATAATTAAATTTACAGGGTATGCTGCATGCTTTCTTTACACATAATCATTTGATGTCAGTTTTTAAACATTTCAGAAATTTCAAATCTCAATGTGACACCCGTTCGCTACACACTCTGAAAACGAGACAATTGTATTATCAACCTGAGAAGAATTTTTGGATGACAATGGTGAGTTGTATGTATGTTTGAAAATAATTGAAATGGTCAAAAATTCAGAAATAATTACAGACTCTTAATTTACCATTCAAAGTTAAAAGTAAGGAGGAAGTAGAGCAGTTAGATTATATGGAAGATGAAATACAAGATGAAGTATACAATGCAGTACTAAAGCAAGCATATGATTTATACTACTTGTTTTTTGGATCTTTTAGTGATGGTTCTGGCAGTGATACAATATTATTAAAAAGTAAACTAATGAATCATTTCAGTCCTGTAAGTATTGCAAACTATAATCTTACTTATTTTTAATGTATTATTTTCAGTATTTGAAATCGATAAAGTTAGCTCACTGTGATATTATGAATATATTTAATGGTATACATTTTTTACCATTAAATAAACAAAACTTTTTGAATGTGCAGTGTTTTATTAATTTACTGGAATGTACCTATAAGTTTATTAAGTATACAGCAGTTTTGTTTAATGATTGTTTGATATGGTGAGTTGTATTTATTCTTCTGACAGTATTGTTGTTTTGCAATTTCTTAATTAATAATAAGCTATAGTTAATGGGGAGTAAAAGGAAATACTGAGTATTCAAATAAAAAGCAATAACTATTTTGTTCATAAAAATTTGATGCAGCTGTGAATCATTTTGGTAGAGATGTAGGTAAATATTTGGCTTGAATTCCGTAAAGGAACACCCTTGAACTGTCTTCAAAGTTTTACCACACTCCTTTATAAATTAGATGTGTTACCTTAAAGGATTTCTGGTAACATGAACGAGAAGGAATTATAGCATCATTGCGGCTGCAGATTAAATACACATAAGCTGAATGCATGGATACTAGAAACAAATTGACCAAAAAATTATGCCGTGTACCGTCGAGGAAGTGATCACAAGTGAAGTTAGAAGTGTCATGTGCTGTTAGCTGTATCAATTATGGCTATACATAATAAGATTTATCATTTTAATCAGCGAAACCGGCCGTAATTTCTGATTCAACCATCAATACAGCACAGCCTATACATTATCTACAGCTTTATGGTTTATATCATATGAGCAATATGAGTGACACATCTGAGAATGCAGACAACACTTGCTACACGTCACCCGATATGAAAGAGAAAGCGAATCTCTGCACTGCAGAATGAATTGTTCAATGTTTACAGCGCTCGTCCTATAACCATAGAAGTATTAAATCGAATATGTGAGGGGATGGGAGAACTTTTATGCACCCTAACCTAACTTACCTAACGTTATATACTTCGTTTAGTTTCTGTAGCGATGTAACCTTCAGTTTGACTGGCGCAAAGTACAAAAGAATAGCACTAGGCCAGAAAAGAAAGGAGGCAACTCTCGGCCAAACTCTTAACCGGTGAGGAGCGTATAATCCGTACAGTACTGCACGAAAAAATTGACCATATCCACTACAATTGCATTGCTCAAATGTGATGTTATTGGTACTACTACTGAAAATATCAACAAGATGTTTATTTATATTTGTAGACATATTAAAGGCTTTAACGCTTGTTTTCGACTCGCACTACTATTCATGTTTGAACAAAACTTTTGGCAGGTACTGTATGAAAAAGTATGTTTAATGAACAAGAGTCGAGAGTATAATGAGCTTTTTTCTCCCTACCTACGATTTTGCCAGCGCGCATCCAAGA